GTTCGGCTCACATTTAGTGGGAACACCGTGGGAGCAATGAGCGGGTTTGGCGCCTTGTTTATGGCACAGCAAAGAGAAGTGAACCGCTCGGCACCAGGCTCCGATGGCTGGGCCAGGAGTTGCAAACGCAAACACATCGACTCCCGCGACGTGCATTGTTTGCGCGCCGGGGGTGTGGATGGAATCACCATCATTCAAAATTGTACACGTTAGCTGCAGATGGAAAACCCCACAGCTATTGTACCGCAAAATATGGAATATGGATTGAAAGTGAGGAAGGGAGGCCGACCGACGACATGGTCAAAAGGAATGAAGACCCTCACTTGCAAGTCTGTTTCGGTTGTAGCCAGTCGGCCACTTAGTGGGGGCCCAAAAACGATGAACAGGCTTGGCTGGATACACTGGTTACCATGGCTGGAAGCCAACCACTGTGGCGTTTGTGTTGCCAGTTTCTAAGTCCCTTGCCCTCCCGCTTAGCCTCCTCCCCCACCAATATATCATTCCTGAAGCATAATATAACTTTCTAGGGCACTGCAGCCGGTCAGAACAATGACCACCCCTTACTAGTTACACAACTGGCGCGCCTGTGTAACACCTCTTTATTAGTTTTCCTTGTGAATTGCAGCGCAATGACTGAGCTGTCAGTGCATTAGCCAACGTGTAGAACGAATGAATGAATGAATCGGAACACAGAGAAAGCACACGAACGCTCAATCCAATCGGAAGTAAGAAAGCGAAGCGTAAACTAGATGCACCACCATCATCCTCAACAGCAGTATATCAGCCATTTGAACTGATGCTTCGTTGCCGTACAACCAAGAGGATCTATGAAATAACGAATAATAAGTGGGAGATAAAGAGTACTTACCTGAAAACCTTAATGACCTAAGCAAACATTCGGGATCAAGGCGCATAAACCGTGTGTAGACAACGTACCATCACAAATAACTAGCTATCGTGTAAAGATAAGGCGACATCGGCGAAACAGATTCCTTGCGGCTTTCACTGCCACGCGTCATAATCAGCCATTACTCCGCAGATATCTCAGCACCAAACACACTTTAAACGGGCAATCCGACTAGGAGACGGCAGCAGACGCGCCCCCGGTATCTACTGCGAGACATGTCCTGTAAAGTCTCGAGCCAAGCACAAGGCAAGACGGACCAAACGCCACCCAGTTTGGTCGTCAGTGACTTCATTTCCCGCTGCCAAGTCAATTTTTGTCCACCGCGAGCTTTGCGCCACCCTACACAGACCAAACAAGGTTCTCCCAGATAAGCGGTGACCAAGCATACGTAGCACATCCCGAGGCAACGTAACTTATTCAGTGTTATTTCTTATTCTAGGGAGCTAGCATGATTATCACTACCTGGTACTCGCCTACGTACATCATCGTTGCGGACCCGCTGGTGCCATCCGACACCAGCAATGCTTCGCAGACAACGATGATTAAAGACTTCAAGACGCCTCAGATCTTCAGACCGAAGGAGCCAAGTTTCACTACCATAGAACAGGACGGCCTTCAGCGTGGCCCTGTATACACAGTCTTTCAGACGGAGGGAAACTCCGTTCTGTCGCCAAAGATGCCGCAGGTTAAAGAACGCAGCTCTGGCCTTTGTAATGCGTGAGTTGACGTCAGTTTCTATGCGCCCGTCGTTGCTGATGCAGCTGCCAAGATAAGTGAAATGATCAACCACCTCGAGTTCCTCGTTAGCAAGGGCTAAGGGGTCATCAAGTGGCTGGTGGTCCTGCAGCAACACTTTGCACTTTGAAGATGAGAAGTGCATACCAAATAGTGGGACCACTCTAGACAGGCTATTCAGGGTTGATTGTGATGCCACAACATCGTCGAAAAGCAAGATGATAACGTCCGCATAATCGGGATCAACCAATCTTTTACCAGGAAGCACTTCAACGCCTACAACGTAAGATTCCGTAAGAGCGATTCCCCGACGAAATGGACCAAAAATGGGAAACTCGGACAACCCTGACGAACGCCACTTGTGGTCCGAAAGCTATCCGATAGGCCATTGTAGACCCTGACGCGGCCTGTAGTGTTCGACTATAAAGCACGTAGGATGTTTACCCATTTCGTGGGAACATCTTTTCGCGCAAGTAATTCGAACAGAATCGATCGATCGACTAAATCGAACGCACTCTTGAAATAGGGGAACACAGCTATTGTCGGTATGCGGTATGCGTGGCGCTGCTCTAGCACCTGCCGCAAAGTGAACATATGGTCTATACAGCCACGTCCTGGACGGAAACCTGCCTGATCTTCCCTAATCCGAGATTCCCGTTCCACAGTGAGGCGACGAACCACAATCGAGGACAGTACTTTCATCATAACTAGCGTTGGGTCAATACCCTTGTGGTTACAACAGTCTGTGCAACTGCCCTTCTTGTATATTGCCATTATAACCGATTCGCTCCAATTAGCCGGGACACTCTTCCTTCCAGATACGTTCTAATAGGGAGGTCAGTGTTTTGCAGAGAACCTCACCTCCATCCCCAAACAGTGCAGGTGAGAGGGAATCCGGACCAGCGGCAGGAAAACTATTGAAGACTGTGATCACATTTCCGACCTCGGCCTCCGATGAAGGCTCGAAACGAATCGTCCATGGCTCGTCCTGCATCACCTGAGTAGGAGGAGGTCCGGGAGCAGGGGGCCAGCTGAACTGATCTTGCAAGTGTTCCGCCCAACGAGCCATACGGCGCTCCTTATAGGGTATCAGCTCACCCACGCCGTCTCTGATTGTCTCACTGACGCCTGGTTTCCTGGGACCAGTGGTGAGGATCAGGTGGAAAAGCTTGCGGTAATTGCTTACTGCTCCCGCCTCTTCCATCTCTTGAGGCCGACTGGTCCACCAGGCATACCTGTCAGCACGTAGGCACCGCTTTAATTCGCGCCTTAAAGTCCGTCTGGCCACATAGTGTTCAGAGACAGCCGGGAGGTTTCTTCTAGATTCCAACAGGTTCACCGACCTCTCGGATATCCAGTGACTGGTGCGGTGACGATTGATAGTGTCACAAGCAGATGCTCCTGAATCGTGTATGGCAGCCGAGATTCTATTCCACTGAAGCTCAGTGTTATTAGAACAAGATAGCTAAAGTTCGGTATGCAGTGCGTCTTGATAGGGCTGAGACAATTTCGCAGTTGCCAACTGGAGGAGACGCTTGGTGCGTCTCTCGGTAAAGTTCATGGAGAAACGACAGCGTATCAAAGCAATTAGCTCAGAACAAACGACAGTCCAGGATGGAACCACGCCACCTGTAGCATTTGGCAATGCGATTAATTTCGGTCCATCGCTGCCAAGCTACAGGAGGACGCCAAATGGCACTTCGGCGCCCCCTGTGTCTAAATGCCGTGCTACTAAGAAACAACTGGTGCTCCGCAAACAGTTGCAACAGACGCTCGCCGTTGTCAATCCGTTCGGAGTTAAGACCAAAATTACCACCTAGCTGAGCTTCCGAAGAGCTCAGAAGCCTTACTTATGCATTCGTATCCCTTGCAAGTATTGTAATATCAGAACTAGTAGCACTGCATAGTAGCGTATTCAGTTCGTGATAGGATGTGTCCTTAGCAGCATCAGAACTGCAGTCGGTGGGAGTGTAAGCGGAAACCACAAACAAACATCGTCTTGTGCTACTTCGTAAATCAATCTTGGTCGATGTGGTCAAAGCAAACTGCATATAAATGGCTGTTCGCCGGAATCCAATCAACCAGCAATGACTCAGCCTTTGAGCTGAGAATGATACCTACCCCAGCTTGACTATTGAGCGCTGCATCAGCGTCTCCGGGCGCAGTTCTTTCAACAACCCCATTAAGGTCATTGATCCTAGCTTCGGACACATAACACACAGTAGTAGCCAGTGTCCAACATGCGTGCGAGTGCCGCATGTTGAGCTATTTGTCTTAGAGTGCGAACGTTGAAAGTCGCCATGGAAATGGGTCAGCATGGCGTTTTAAGGTACGGTTGAGGATCGGTATTCAGTGGGTGTTGTGGGAAAGTGGCTGCAGATGATTAGACTTAAGTGGCACTTCGCTTGTTGTTAATTAAGCTGGGATTTATAAGAGGGAGGTGAATAATGGGAGTTGGGATGGGAATAAGACAAACAGGTGGAAAAAAGAAGGGAGGCGCCAGCAGTAGCACGTTTTCACTTGTCCGTCTTGGTGTATGCAACATATAAGCCGGCCCTTGATGAGCTGCGCGACGGCCGATGTAGGATGTAGTTAGAGTTTGAAGAAATTGTCATGGTTGTATGTGGGCTGAGATACTGCCAGGGCGCCCGGAACTAGACAGGAGAACGATTAGGGTTCTCAACTGAAGACTTCGAATCAAAAGCCTGTCAGCAAGGCAGCGGAAAGGTGGCAATGATTTAGTTTTACGGAAATGGACACCATCCCTTTTCGAACCTCCAACCTGGAGGACCAGGAGACGGAGTTTGTCTGACCTCTAACCACTGACTAACCTGGTAGGAGTAGCTCTCAAGACGCCCAGAGGCACCACCCAGTATAGCTCAACGGGTCGCCGAGGTACGCAAACCGTCGCAGCATGTTAAGGTCCAGTGTCGATTGGACGGCCAATGGGCGATTTTCTAATCGCCAATTACCGTCAAGGAAAAACTGCGATTCGTTTTCGGAAGCAGAGCATACACTATCTGGCAATCAGGATACCAAAATATATGCAAATGTCAATAGCAAATGGTGCGACAAAATGGCGTGCGATTACGAATTGTTATCAGATAAAATGTACTTGGACTGATCGATCCTTTAGACAAGTGCGTGGCGTCTATGAGACACGAAAGTGTGAAACGATTGGTCAGCTCCTTTCGTTGGCTCTTTCACTGACTAGGTGATGATGAAAATTGAAATAGCGGTAAAGGGCAACCAAATTGGAGGGCATGATCTACAAGCGACCGAGAGGTAAACGAGAAGATGCGAGAAACATACAGGAGGCACAGACCAATCCTCAAGATTCACAATAAAAAGCACTCACCTCAATTATTTCATGCAAATGTAGTAATTGTAGGGGAGGTAGTTGAAGAAGCTGAGGTAGCAGATAACGGAACGCAATCACCATGTGGCTACAAGAAGCGGAGCCAGTAGCCGAGCTGGATCGGGATGGGAAGACCTCCATTAGGCGTGCGTGAATCTCCTGCACGGAACTGTCACTCGGAGACTGCTCATCGGACCCGGTGAACCCCAAGTGGTGGTGGTGGTGTTCAAACGAGTGAGATCCACTATCCTGACTGCTTCTCGTCGTCATTCCATCATTGAGAGCGGATGAGGAGGACGAAGAAGTGGACATACCGGGCTCACTCCCACTGATATCTGTGAAGACAACCGGTTTTGTGGAAGGGTCAGTTGCGCTAGACCCGGGAATGAACGACAGCGGAGCTGGTGACGGCGAGCCACTCACAGAACGGCGACTTATTCTCGTCTTTTTATGCTTTCTCAAAGGCATGGTAGTGGAAACCGAACTGGCGAAATGCCCACACCTGTGTTGGTGATCCTGCGAGTGTCTATGTGTGTGAGAATGGCACGAAGAGGATGGGGCGTGTCGGTTGTCGTATCGACCCGACGAGGCCGTAGGCACGGGAATGGAGCCAGGAGGATCCGAAACGTAAGAGGTTTTTGGACCATATGAACAACTCCCATTTTCATGAGAATGAAGTAGGAACGAGCCCAAAGAATGCAACGGCTGTGGGCTGTTGTTCAGATGAGAATTAGAACAGGAGGCACTGGAAGATGTTCCAGTAGAGTACGGAACAGCACCAGGGTCAGAACCGGTGCTAGAAGTGCATAAAGTGCATGTATGGGGATCGGAGTAGCGAACTTCAAGGTCAACTAGGCGCCGACTGGAAGCCTGGAGAGAGAGGTAATGTAGAAACACATTTCAATGACAGCAGAGAAGGGTAACCGAAAAATAGGGCTGAGGACAGCCTAGTTATACACGTTAGTTAGAGGTGGGAAACACTTCAGCTACCGTGCCGCAATACCTAAAAGAAAAAAAACGGAAAACTGCAACACGTGCATGCCAGCTAAGCTACCGGTAACACATGGGCATCGTTCCGATAAGCTATTTGCCGGCTACTATGTAGCAAAAAAATTATAATGCAAAATTATATAAGGTTAAATAGTGAGATCGTGGTGGGAGGGGGAGGCTGAGGGATGGGGTAGGACAAAGAAACTCACAGCATAAACGCCATTGAGGTGGACTCCTAGCCATATCAGTAAGTATATCCAGCTAAACATGTTCATCGTCTTTCGGACCCCAACCAGGGAGCCGAGATGCTCCAACCGAGGTCAACTCCGAAGTGAGGGACTTCATTCCTCTCGACCAAGTCATCGCTTGGCCAACTCACTTCTTCCATCCACATCCCCGGCACGCAAACAACGTACGTCGCGGGAGTCGGTGGGCTGGCATCCGTAACACGTGTCCGAGCCATCGGAACCTGGTGCGTGAAATGACGGTGTCTAGCGGTTCATATTCCTGTCCTGTGCCGTAAACAAGGCGTCGAACACGCTCGTTGCTCACGCGGTGTTCCCACCAGATGTGAGCCGAACTGCGGTAACACGGGTGGTCGAACGCAACTAGCCTCTTTATGTTCGCTGGTCTAAGGGGCCAGGTTTCACAACCATATAGTAGGGTCGAACGTATCGCTGCATTGTACACTCTACCTTTCAGGGCGAGAGTGATGTCGCGTCGGCGCCATAAGTGGCGAAGGTTAGCAAAAGCGCCTCAAGCTTTTGCTATAGGTTCGTGATCTCATCTTCAATCCCAGGGGAGCTGATACAACTTCCCATGTAGTTGAATTTTTGAACGACTTCTAGCTGATCCCCACCAGGCGTCAGCGAAGGAAGCGGTAGATGGTGGCTCCGGGCCCCTTGAGAACTACTCCAACCAGGTTGGCCAATGGGCAGACAAATTCAGTCTCCTGGTAGGGGGTTGGAAATAGGATGGCGTCCACTTCTGTAATACTAAATCACTGCCACCTCCCCACCGCCTTGCGGACAAGCTTTTGAGCCAAAGGATTTGGTCGAGCACCCGAATTGTTCTTCTGTCTAGGTCTGGGCGTCCAGACAGTATCTCAGCATAGGGATAACGTGACTCTGATCAAAATTCAACATCTTGCATTGGCCGTCGCGCAGGTTAACAAGGGACGCTTTAGCTGCTGCATACATCAAGGCGGACAGGAGAAAACATGCTACTGCTGGCGCCCCTTCTGTCTACCTTACTCACCTCACAAACCCATTACCAGCCTGCGTTCCATAATTCCCAGTTTAAGTGACAGCAACGCAAGGCCACTGGAGTCATACCATCTTCAGCTATATTCCCGCACCACCAACTACAGGCCTGTCGACAACAGTCCCCTATAAAATCACGCTGTCCCGTTTCCATAGCGGCGTTCAATGTTCGCACTCTAGAACAAATAGGTAAACAGGCTACACTTGGACGCACCTTGGACACACTGAGTAGTGAGGTGCGTTGCGTATCCGAAACTAGGACCAATGACCAACACGGGGTTCCCGAGTTAACTGCGCCCGGTTTGTCCTTTCGCTATTGGTTGCATGCATCCGGAGACGCTGATGCGGTAAAAACTAGTGAAGCTGGAGTGGGGATCGTTTCAATTTCAAGGCTAAGTCATCGTTGGTTGATTGGATTCGCGTGAACAGCAGTTTGTGTACAGCTCGTCTGATGACAACAACTAAGCTTGATTAACGAAGTAATACAAGACGCTATTTGTTTGTGGTTTCCGCTTATGCTCCCACCGAGTGCAGTTCAGATGCTGTCAAGGAAACATTTTACCACGAACGGAACACGCCACTAGGCAGCGTTACCAGTTCAGATATCATTGTTGTTGCAGGGGGTACGAATGCACAACTAGGTCGTCTGAGCTCTTCCGAAGTTCAGCTACGTGATAATTACGGGCTCGACTGTGAACGGACTGACAACGGAGAGCGTCTGTTGCAACTGTTCGCGGAGCACCAGTTGTCTCTTAGTAACACTACTTTTAGACACAGTAGGCACCGAAGTGCCACTTGGCAGCCTCTTATAGCTGGCCAGCGATAGACCCAAATAAATCACATTGCTATAAGTCACAGGTAGCGTGGTTCCATCCCGGACAGTCGCTCATTCTGGACTATGAGGCGAAAACTAAAGCGGAGCTTGTGCGCTGACAAGGAAGCCTAGGGGAGCAGTCCGGCTCAAGGAATGGAGGAGGCATGAGCAGTAGGCAATTATCACAAGCTCTTCCAACTGATCCGCACCACTGGTCCAAAGAAATCAGGCGTCAGTGAGAATATCCGAGACAGCGCGGGTGCATTGATTCACAAAAAGGAGTGCTGCATAGCTCGTTGGGCGGAGTACTTTTGAGAGCTGTATAGTTTGCCCTCTGCTGCCGGTCCTCTTCCTACTCAGGTGATGCAAGATGAACCACGGGCGCTTAGTTTAGAGCCCCAGTCGAAGGTCGAGGTCCGAAACGCGATCACAGTCCTGAATTGTTTTCGTGCAGTCGGCCAGGATTCCCTCCCACCTGCACCTAAAGGTGAGGTCCTCTGTAAAGCACTAACCTCCTTATTCGAACGTATCTGGAAGAAAGAGTGTCCCGGCTAATTGGAGCGAATCGATGATAGTGGTAATATACAAGGTCAGTCGCACAGACTGTTCTAACCACAGGGGTATTAGCCCAACGCCAGAAATGACAAAACTGCTGACCTCAATTCTCGTTCGTTGCCACACTGCGGAGCTTAGCTAAGAGCTACGTTTCCGCCCTTGAAGGGACGGCATAGGGTATAGATTCGTTTTTGCAGCAGGTACTAGAGCAGTGCCACGCACACCGCAGGCCGATAATGTCTTTATCACAGGATTTAAATAGTGCGTTCGATTCCATCGATCGATGCATTCCGCTTGAAATACTTGCGCAGAAAGGTGTTCCCGCAATATAGGTGAACAAGTTACGTGCTCTATACTCCAACACGACGAGCCGCGTCAAAACCTACGGTGACTTATCGGATATCCTTCTGACAACAAGTGGGAATGTCACTTGTCCGAATTCCCCACCTTTGTTCAATTTCGTCGTGAATTCATCATGGCGTGTTCCGTTACCGAATCTCACGATGCAGGCGTTGAGCTGCTGCCTCGTGAAAGGCGACTTGAGCTTGATTATGCGGACAATATCGTCTTACTTTGTAACCATGTTGGCGCGGCGCAACCAACCGTGAATAGCCTAGCTAGAGTGGTCCGCATATGCTGTGGCACATTACTTGAGGCGTGTTTCTTCCCTCAGCTAATGTATACTGATGATAATGATGAGGATGATGATGATGACGCTGATGATGACAGTGGGTCCCCCTCAGCCAATTCGTTAAGGCAGAAAGAAGACAGAGGTTGCGATATGTCAACATTTCGATTGTTCTCTTCAGTCGCAAACACAATACGATCAGAAACATACAAGGGATTACATACATGGGAAAAAAGCACCACCAATCAAAATGTCAAAGTCAAGACCGTGGCAACCGAATTGATTGCCTCAAGAGTTTCTGTGCACATAACACAGGTTGATAAGCCTTAATTAACAACGCCTCACTAATTGCTAGCATTATCGGGTTTTTGTCGCGTAATAACACTTTGAACGCTGACGGGGTGTCATGAGGTGCTTGGTGATAGATGATGCCGGGCTCCGATTGATTCTCAGATTCGTCCCATGTTGTTGCGTAATCGCTTGTCCCAACCACTTTGGCAAGTGTTCATCTACCCTCTGAGCTAACTGACGGTTTGTTCTGCCTATGTAAATGTCACCGCAACCGCAGGTGAACTGATAAACAACGTGAGAGGCCGAACTAACAGACGAGATGCTCTGACGGTTATGAAGAACAGGTGCTCGTGTGGTATGCCTGAGTCACAACTGGGCTGTCGTGTAGATTCGCGTTAGGGCAGACCGGAGCTTTCGTCCGATGTCATTTGCCACATGGTCCCCCTTGAACGGCAAGAACAAATAAACATTCCTTTTCTCAGTCGTCAACACCGGTGTTTTCATGCTGGGAGGTCTGCTGTGTATCTGAATAGACTTCTCAAGATATCCATTAACAATTATGGTCTTGCGTAGAAATTCTTCTTCGGCTTGTAACGTTTCGGGGCTGCAAATACGTCTAGCCCGGTAAAAGAGAGTCCTCACTAACCCGCGTTTGTATGCGATCGGGGCGAAGCTTTAAAAATGAAGATACTGTCCAGTCCGAGTCGATTTGCGGTGAACAGTGCGCTGCAACGTACCTTCAGCCTGTCTCATATTGAGTATATCCAAAAACGCCAGGCAATGGTGTTGTTCCACTTCATGAGATACCGACAGATTAGGGTGAATCGAATTTAGGATGGTCAGCAGCCGATTAAAATGTTCTCCGCTGGTGAAGACTAAAATGTCATCCACATATCGTCTGTACAATTTCGCTTCACCAATGTTCTCAGCAACTTGTCTTTCTATCAGGCAGAGGTAGATGTCGGCTAAAACTGGTCCCAGCGGGCTGCCCATAGCGACCCCGTCGATCTGTTTGTATGCGGTCCCCTCAAATTCAAACCGTACGTTCTCGGTGCACAATAGAATCATATCCTTTAAACGCTCCACTGGCACGCCAACGGACATATTTTGACTTAGGATAAAATCACATAAATTATCAACCGTCCCACGTAAAGGTAGATTTGTGAATAAGGAGTCCACATCTAGTCAGTACATAAGCTCTGCACTCAGTGACAATTGTTCCAGTGTCTCAGCCAGTTCAAAGGAGTCTTTCAGGCAATACGTAGCGAGGAGTTTACGCACCGGATCTAATAGTTTGGCCAGCCACCGCGCGACATTGTGATAAGGGGAATTGTTCATGCACATAATCGGACGTAGTTGGAATCCTGCTCTGTGTATCTTGGGAGCGCCTCGCATTCTAGGTGTCTGAGTCCCGGTCGGTTTTAAGTGCCTGTACTGTGACTCATTGATGTAGCCATGTAGCAGGAGGATCTGGAGCTTCCTTGTCACCTGCCTCTCCACCAGGATGTTGTTTTTCTGTGTATAATCTAGCCGGAACTTCCGAGTGTCTCTCAGAATGGACTCCAGGCACTTAAAGCCGACCGGGACACAGACGCCTAGAATGCAATGCGCTCCCAAGTTACACAGAGCAGGATTCCAACTACGTCCGATTATGTGAATGAACAATTCACCTTAACACAATGTCGCGCGGTGGCTGGCCAAACTATTGGATCCGGTGCGTAAACTCCTCGCTACGTATTGCCTGAAAGACTCCTTTGAACTGGTTGAGACACTGGAACAATTGTCACTGAGTGCAGAGCTTATGTACTGACTAGATGTGGACTCCTTATTCACAAATCTACCTTTACGTGGGACGGTTGATAATTTATGTGATTTTATCCTAAGTCAAAATATGTCCGTTGGCGTGCCAGTGGAGCGTTTAAAGGATATGATTCTATTGTGCACCGAGAACGTACGGTTTGAATTTGAGGGAACCGCATACAAACAGATCGACGGGGTCGCTATGGGCAGCCCGCTGGGACCAGTTTTAGCCGACATCTACCTCTGCCTGATAGAAAGACAAGTTGCTGAGAACATTGGTGAAGCGAAATTGTACAGACGATATGTGGATGACATTTTAGTCTTCACCAGCGGAGAACATTTTAATCGGCTGCTGACCATCCTAAATTCGATTCACCCTAATCTGTCGGTATCTCATGAAGTGGAACAACACCATTGCCTGGCGTTTTTGGATATACTCAATATGAGACAGGCTGAAGGTACGTTGCAGCGCACTGTTCACCGCAAATCGACTCGGACTGGACAGTATCTTCATTTTTAAAGCTTCGCCCCGATCGCATACAAACGCGGGTTAGTGAGAACTCTCTTTTACCGGGCTAGACGTATTTGCAGCCCCGAAACGTTACAAGCCGAAGAAGAATTTCTACGCAAGACCATAATTGTTAATGGATATCTTGAGAAGTCTATTCAGGTACACAGCAGACCTCCCAGCATGAAAACACCGGTGTTGACGACTGAGAAAAGGAATGTTTATTTGTTCTTGCCGTTCAAGGGGGACCATGTGGCAAATGACATCGGACGAAAGCTCCGGTCTGCCCTAACGCGAATCTACACGACAGCCCAGTTGTGACTCAGGCATACCACACGAGCACTTGTTCTTCATAACCGTCAGAGCATCTCGTCTGTTAGTTCGGCCTCTCACGTTGTTTATCAGTTCACCTGCGGTTGCGGTGACATTTACATAGGCAGAACAAACCGTCAGTTAGCTCAGAGGGTAGATGAACACTTGCCAAAGTGGTTGGGACAAGCGATTACGCAACAACATGGGACGAATCTGAGAATCAATCGGAGCCCGGCATCATCTATCACCAAGCACCTCATGACAATCCATCATCACGTAAACCCCGAGACAGCGTTCAAAATGTTATTACGCAACAAAAACCCGATAATGCTAGCAATTAGTGAGGCGTTGTTAATTAAGACTTATCAACCTGTGTTATGTGCACAGAAACTCTTGAGGCAATCAATTCGGTTGCCATGGTCTTGACTTTGACATTTTGATTGGTGGTGCTTTTTTCCCATGTATGTAATCCCTTGTATGTTTCTGATCGTATTGTGTTTGCGACTGAAGAGAACAATCGAAATGTTGACATATCGCAACCTCTGTCTTCTCTCTGCCTTACGAAATGGCTGATGATGTCGTTGGTGATGATGATGATCCCAATATTTGGTATGCGCTTCGTAGCTTCAAAGTGAAGCGTTGTTGCAGGACCATCAACCACTTGATGAAACTTTGACTCCTGATAGAGAAGAACTCGAGGTAGTTGGCAGCTACAACGACTACGATGGGCGCATAAGCACTGAAGTCGGTTCACGTACTACAAAAGTCAGAGTTCTTAAATTAAATCTGAGACATCAGTGGCGACAGAAAGGAGTTTCCATCCAACCGAGAGGCTGTGTTTACGAAGTCACCTTGAGGATAGTTCTAATCTATGGGAGTGAAACTTGGACCCTTCGGTCTGAAGATCTGAGGCGCCTTCAAGTCTTTGATCATCGCTGTCTGCGGAGCATTCCTGGTGTCGGGTGGCACCAGCGTGTCCGCAACGATGATGTGCGCAAACGAGTGCTGGGCAGTGATACTCAAGCTAGTTCCTTAGAACAACCGATAACACGGGATAAGTTGAATTGGCTTACCGCTTGGGTTACCGCTTGCCGAGAAAAGGTTTGCTCTGCTTGCCAGATGTATGTTATACATAACGCTCAGACAAAACACTTGGTTTGTCTTGCACCGTCGAGAAATATACCATTCATTTATTGAATTTGTAGAGTGGCGAAGCCCGAGGTGGGCAGAAGTTGACTTGGCAGCGGGAAATGAAGTCAATGCTGCCGGTCCGTGTCGCCTTCCGGGCTGGAGTCCACGTGATTGGCCTTGTGCTTGGCTCGAGACTTTACAGGACATGGCATACAGTCGACAACAATGGCGCGTCTGCTGCTGTCTCCTAGTCGGATTGCCTGTTTAAAGTGTGTTTGGTGCCGAGTTATCTTCGGGGTAATGGCTGATTATGTCGCGGGGCAGTGAAAGCCGCAAGGAAGCTGTCTCACCGATAGCCGGTTATTTGTGACGGCATGTTGTCCACACAAGGTGTAGGCGCCTTGACCCTGAATGTTTGCTTAGGGCATTAAGGTTTTCAGGTAATTCTCCCTTCTCTCCCTCTTATTATTCTTTATTCCATAGGTCATCATGGTTGTATGGCAGCGAAACAGTTTAACTGCTTGGTGTATGCTGTTGATGATTGTATGGTCTAAAAGAACTTTGATTTCCTTTACCAGATCGATTATTTTCCTTGATGACTCAGTGATCCTATGCCCACCTTTTTCCACCTTCCAAGCTACTAACACGAGGTTCGTGCTTCAGACCAGTACATGCTCAAAAGAGTATCGGTTTACATTGGCTTTTATTGCGTGCACTTACTCAAGGCCACCAGTCTGCTTTTAACGTTACTATTACTGTCATCTGTTTCCGCTGCCGGTGTAAACCTAGTCATGAATCCTATCTTGCATATTATTCAGCCCTTTAGAATTACGGTTACAAGAGTATAATGCAAATGCTTCTATCTCGATCGTTTTCCGCTCAGACCGTGCATACAGACTAGGTTTATAGCGCGAAATAGCAATATGTATGTACAATACGTGCGACGTAACTCGAGTTAGGTTGTTCCGTCGTTACAATGATGATGAGGATGATACTGATGAATATAGATAAAGGCCAGGATACATGGATATAAAGTTGTTGTACTTACTTTTTCGATGACAGTGCATAAAATGGATTGGAAAAGGTTGTTAAGAGCCTTTATCAAACAAGGCACTTCAGACAGAAGGTATGTCCAGTTGCGACAATCACTGCTGAATAACTCCTCCGAGTAGTATGCAAAGCTGTGAAACGTCTCGTCTTCGGCGGGTTCCTGAACGGAACAAGGCACAGGAGAGATTAATGCAATTGCAAGAGTTGGACTAGCGACTAAACTCGATCACAGAAAGTCAAATACGTGTTAGTTTGTACGAGGTAATTAGATAGGCTAGGTTACATTGAAACGCTGGAATACTCGTAGCTACGACACTTATTGACAGTATTTCAGAAGGGTACGAAAACAAACAGTTGTCGTAGTTGGAGGGCAACGTTTCGTTTTCGGCACGAAATCTCCGTCAGGCCGAGTGAACCAGCGGGTGATTGGTGTGGCTTTTATGACAAACTGGGACAAAAACCGCGACGACCGAGGTACAAGTAGGATTGCAATCATGATACGGATCAAAGAGTCATTTCAACTGACACATTACGGATGACAAGATTCCAGGTAGCTCCTTGTACGAAGTCATCACACCGATGGGAGCAGAAGTGGTTTGATATTTGCACTCTGGCCCAAATCCACTTGCGGACGCCGCTCAGACTTGCTGGGTCAAGACAGCTTTCCACGCACTAGGTAACTCCATTCCATCCACTCTGTTTAAGTAGCTGTTGGCTTTGGCAATTTCCAACGCCTCAGCAGCCAGCCTTTGGAGTGTGGATCGTAAACCCGTCCTAATGATTTCGGTAGTACCCAAGTTGATTTCTTGCTCTTTGACTAATATGTGTGTCTCCACTGCTGAATGTCTCAGTAAAACCCCGTATTCAACCTCGTACCTCGATGGTTGTGACATGCGCTTCTTGTGTTCTGTTAACCTCGTGCGCAATCCTCTAACGGTTTGGCCTATGTACATGGGTGCATAATCCTTGCAGCTTTGTAGACACAATTGATCATCCTATCTGCGGGGAGTGAGTCCTTCAAACGCAACAGGATCGAACGGGCCGTTTGACCCTACTAGTAAATCGCCCTTATTTTTCTTTGTGTAATACCCTTCGGATAGCCTCTGAAGTTACTTTTCTTTCAGGAATCCTTACCGTCGCAAACCACTCCGTGGTAGGCCATGCATGAGAGTTTAGAACTTTCAGCAACTAGCGTTTCAACAATCCTCTCGGGTATTCACTATCCAGCCTTTGGTTTATTGCTTGCTTTCGAGCGGTTTTGTGAACCTACAAAAACTAGTTGTATTCAAACCCGTCTGAAATCCTGAATTGGCGATCGGTTCCAAGCAAATTTCAACATCCTGATAGTACTTTGTATGGGTTAAGGTGAATTCAGCGAGTAAATGAAAACTAAGTACAGAAATATTTTAAATTAGGAACAGACTCGAACAAAATGACAATCACTGAGTAGATGACGACAAACGTCGTTTTCGTGAAAAAAGTAACGGCATGGAAATGGAGGATTGAATAGGGGTCCAATGTCGGGTTTCGAGCAACCACCGTGTGTTTGGATCGCGACACACTGTCACAACTTGAATTGTCGCGGCAGCCGCACAAGGTCACTGGCATTTCGTGTAAATAAACGATACTATCGGATGTAAGGGTCACTAAGAATTTGTCCCTCACTGCCATAAGTCTTTACTACTTGGATTCTGCCCGTGAATCCAATTCCGAACGACACGGATGTGAGCAAGTGCGTCTACGGTGCGTCCGATATGTTTGGACCGATCCCCGTAATTCAGCTACGATTCGTACTTTTAAAGATGCACTCGCGCGTATCTAGGAAACACCAGCTTATGTAACGGTTGTTCGGTTATCCAATCGGCAATTTGTGTTGGACAGCAAATGCTCGCATCTGCGTTAGGGACGCACACAGTAGCGTGCGAAGCCATGGATTTTGCTCTAACGTTTGATGGTCCGCGACAGAGTCAGTTCGTCGTGGGATGGGCACAGAGGGACCACATGAGGCAATCGAACGATCGATAGATTCGGTCACAGCGCGGCATGCTTACTGTCTTTTTTGGGGGGGGCAAACTAAGCCGGAGGACACGAGAAGCTTAGTTGGCAGTGAATGCGGACAGGCTGCCGTTGGGCCATGTTGGATGAAAGGAGAAATGAGGCACAGACAGCACAGGTTAGCAGTCTGACTATTGGTTGGTGCTGTAAGATAGGCGGTACGATTCTTGTCATTTTATTATCTGATCACTGCCTTAGTAATGGAACATGTGCAAACATTCCCGTCAGTGACTTCTCTCCAAGCTGAATTAACCTACGTGGCTGAGGATCAGCGCGCGCTTAAGCTTCGACTGTATGGTGAGTGTGGGTCAACGCTGCGGAAACTGCTCGAGGATAGAACACTATGAACGCTGGAATACGGCCCGTCAGCGGCCGTTAAGTGCTTAAACTGGGAAAACGCTTGATAAAACTGGGTGTGTGCAATACCAGAAAAACCGGGCGGCCTCGCATCATCACGGATGACTTTTCAGGTTGTGTTGTTATCCGTGAAGTATCCAAAAGGGATCAGCTCAGCATACGTAGAATCGCGCAGCATTGTGACCCCACTCGATATGCGGTTCACAGGATTTTAAAGGAAGGAGATTTTCGTAGATTTGGGGCACTACAAGCTCAGGTTTTGAACCCCAACGATCCGGACAAACGGAGTGCATTTTGTCTTTGGTTTTTGGACCACATTAGCATTCACTCCATAATTTTCACTGATAAAGTAATTTTTTATTTGCGTGGAACAGATAAATGGCATTGTTGGGCTACATCTAACTAACACCGATACAGGGCGCCACGTATTCAACATAGCGCAAAGCTCAGGGGTTGGGTTGGGTTGGAATAAGTGGTCGGTAAATCGTTGGACCATTTTTCTTTTCCCAGAATGTGACCGCTAAGTTGTTGTGTTTTAGTACTCCTTCCATACTAATCATAGCATCACCGTATAACGAAATGCTTCAAACCTGCGTACTTCTATAGTGGAGACCGACGGTGTAGGCAGTAGTATTCGGTGACAAACGGATGGTGCACAAGCACATTACGCTCAAACTGTCCGTGAATACCTCAGTGAGAAATTCGGTCATCGTTGGATCGGCCAAGGAGAACCAGTGGAGTAGCGCGCACGGTCATTAGATTTGAATCCGTTGAATTTTGCTATGGGGATATTTGAAACAAAGGGTTAAAAAACCAGGCCGCATTCAATGGAGCAACTGAGAAAGAATTTCGTACACGAAAGTCGCCCTATCACGACCGAGACAATGGAGAAAGTGCTGGCCAACTGTATCAAGAGAGTACTTCGCTGCATGCAGAACAACGGCGGAGACTTAGGACATCTCCTCCGGCGATATATGGTTGGCGGTATCTGGTTTCGGATCTGCCTGTCACCATGGCCAACCACAGGACGCCTGCACCTACGGAGGGACCATTGGTGACTTGTGTTGCACCACCCACAGCTCCAACCACACCCCATATCCAGTGTAAACCCGAAGGAATACGACCGGGAGGCATGTGGATGGGAGCCACGTTTCATCAACGGAGCCGGCTCACACTCCTTCACAGACAAACACGAGCACGCTGTATTTGGGGAATCAAGTGCACACAAGGCGGTGGCTGGACCGTAGTCCGCTCCACACTGAGTGCATAGAATTACTCTTCGAGCGTAGTACGGCCATAAGGGCCGTGCATCCAGTCCCCTCCGGCAACGACCAACTGTCTCCTGGAGCCAGTATGAACGAGGTAGTGGAAAATAGACAGGTAGGCACCTTGTTAACATGCACATCAAGCGCAGCCACATCGGAGATATCAAGCAACAGGCAATCACTTGAAACGACAAGATTAAATAAAATAAATCGAATAATGCGTACAGATACGGTGACATAACTCTTCACTAAGCGAGCGAATGAAACAGATTGGTGGTAAAAACCCGCGAAAAGTCCAATCCTTCAGAAAATATATCGTAAGAAAACGCCATAACCAGGAAAAGTTAACTACAATTAGCTTAAGCGACAAATGCAAGTTAATTGTGCTTTTCAAATAACTAAAGGGAACTAGCTGTTTTAATAGAAGACAGTTCAGGTAGACATTAATATGAGATAAAAAGCATTAGGACAATATAGAAACCCACAACCTGAAATAAAGAGACTCAGCATGCAAACACGCGATTAGTAAATCGAGTATAGAGTACCTACAAACGCTGCGCCGGTTCTGTCTACGTTCTCTGCAGGACCTGTCATCGCTTCGGTGTGGTCCCGAGTGGCCTCGCTCATGGCTCACTAGGCCTGCCTGACTCAGGCACTCGCAACTGCAAGTGCAACAGCACTATGCGCTCGATACAAATGGAGTACAACCCATCGGTGTCTGTCGCTTCCGTAACTGCCGCTTCTTTGCTTCATGCACGAGGGATTTCTCTTGCATCTCGGCAACGGCCTTCGTGATCAGATCGCGCCATGCACGCCGATCAAATGCTTTCGATTCCCATGTCCTGCAATCAAGAGTAGAACGTGAGAGGCTCACTTTGACCATGTCCCGGTAACGTAACTTTGGTTTCCCCACATGCCGCTTCCCAATACGCAGCTGACCATACAACAGTTGTTTCGGTATCCGCGTCGAATCCATACGGCTCACATGACCGAGCCACCCCAAGTGTCTCAGCAAAAGTATGCGGTCCACTGTATACATTCCACCTCGGTGCCAAACCACCGTGTCTACACCTCTGTTGCGCCAACCGATGCGCAGAATCCATCGCAAACATTTTGGATGGAACCGCTCAAAATATCTCACATCTCCCCGGTACATCGTACACGTTTCACTGCTACATAGAAGAACGGACAACACCATGGATTTGTACACCATCAGCTTCGTGCCAACGGTAAGCTGATGGTTGTTCCAGACTCGGTATTCCAGCTTCCCGAATGCCGCCGCTGCCTTCGAGACACATATACGAAGCTCACTGTGTAGCTGCTGGTCAGTCGACATCACACTCCCAAGGTAGCAGAAGCGGGGTGGTTTCTAATACTTAATCACCAGTGCTGATTTGAGGCAATATTGAAGATTTCACCTCCAATGAAGGCTGGAAGAGACATATAGTTTTGCTGTATTGATGGTGAGCCCGAATTTGGCCGCTGTGGAAGCCAGAGCATTAGTCATGTGTTGCAACTCATCCGCGCTGTGTGCAAACAACGCACAGTCGTCAGAAAATGGCAACATAAGGATAGTTGTCTCAAAAAGTATGGTTATCGCACCGAAACGACGGATGTTCAGCAACCCACCGTTAATACGGTGCTCCACACGAACACCGTAAGCACAGGCGGCATCAAAAGCACAAGACAACATGGCATGAAGATATATATTAAACAGGGCAGAAGCTAAGACCCAGCCTTGCTTTACACCAGTGGCAACTGCAAAGTCATCCGAGGTCTCTCCATTCAGCTGCACCCTCGTTCGCATACCACTGTGCAGATATTCAATTAAACTTACAAACTTACGCGGGCAACCAAACTTACCCAACACCAGCCACAATGCCTCGCAGTTCACCGTATCAAATGCCTTGGTGAAATCAACAAAAAGCGAGTGCAATGGCTGGTGTCGTTCTCTGCACTTCTCTTGCAACTGACGAGCCGCAAACACTATATCTATAGTGCTGCGACCCGAACGGAATTCACAATGCTCTTCTGCAACGTTCGGTTCCACAACCTAACTGACGAGGCGGTTGAGCATATATATATATATATATATATATATATATATATATATATATATATATTCCTATCCTAGATTGCAAATGATTTAAATAATATATTGGTCCATGGGCGAAGGTTTCCATGTGGGTCGAGGTATGTAGAATGATAAGAGCACTCTGTTAACAGTGCAATCATATCGGACATATTGGAGTTCATTTGATATTAAGTGGTTTGGCTTTCTTGAAAACCATCTTACCAGAAGAAGGGGGCGGGGAAGAAGGAAAACTTGCCGACGTTCTAGGATAAGCCATTCCGTGGACAGCAGTGATTACGTACTAGAAGGGCTTAAACGTATCAGAAGATTAGGATAGGTAGCAAAAATTTTCAAAAAGTACGAAGTACTTATGTAACTGCTGCGTACGGAATCGCATGGCAATCAGCTTTGACTAGGGGCTGAATCTGCCCGCATTATACGAACCGCCAGTCAAGTAATTTATAAGTTTCTGTAATTGCGTACAATAAATGAAAGCGACCGCTATCTCATGGTCCATTTCGCATTTGGTGTAGTGCCCGCTCATACGGGTTACTGTGAATAGCTTGACTGTACATGAGGCTTACTGCATCCCAAGCTCTGTAAAGGAAATTCCAGAAAAGTTTCAGTCACCCTACTATTATTGCCGCTATCTTTTACTGACCGAAAACATTGCGGGTGTAAGTTACATGTGTTTGCTTTAGTAATTTTGTCACGACTAAAGTGAATGCTGCTCTTATGGCTCCAAAAAATCCCTATCCTACTAGGAAGTTGCCATACAAACCGTGTCGAAGCAATCAGTGTGCCAGCAACTTCATGTGCATCAGTGTCAACCTCGGGATGCAGATCTAGGCGTAAGCGGCTTGGTTTTCAGTGTACACGGGTGCTGTTTAGATGAGCGACTATCAATGATTGAGCTAGGGTGTCGTTCCTGGACGCACTGGTGGACAGTTATGCCCCTGAGCCCACCTGTGGTGTCGTATCAAGCTACAGCGAATCTCTGTTACAGTGCAAACCTTAAGTAGGGTGCGCATCATATATCTCAATAGAGCTCTGTCGGGGACATTGAGGATGATCGGACTTTGCGACCTGATTCTACGTTGGTACATTTCAGCGGCTGGCTACTTACTTTATTCGCATACCACATGCAGGGCGGATAGCGATTAGGAAACGCTTTAATTCCATTTAAGAGTGACATGAGGTTTTGTGCTTAAGCATGATCAGATCTGTGTGTACATCCCCTAGTTTACTATTCACCTCGGAAACGATGTGGGCTGTTTCGAAGCTAAGTTGCTTCGCATAGCTGATTGAATTCATTCTCTAAAATACTACTTGCTTCGGCACTGTGTGTTTGAGTAAGCGGGCACTACACCAAATGCGTCATCGCTCGTTTCAACCAGCTTGGCCCAACGACAACCTGTCCGTATTCACTGCCAACTAAGCTTCTCGTGTCCTCCGGCTTAGTTTGCCTCCAAACAAACGACATTCAGCATGCCGCGCTGTGACCGAATCTATCGATCGTTCGATTGCATCATGTGGTCCCTCTGTGCCCATCCCACGACGAACTGACTCTGTCGCGGACCATCAAACGGTAGAGCAAAATCCATGACTTCGCACGCGACTGTGTGCGTCCCTAACGGATGCGAGCATTTGCTGTCCAACACAAATTGCTGATTGGATATCCGAACAACCGTTACAGATGCTGGTGTTTCCTAGATAGCGAGAGTGCGTCGTTAACAGATGATCCGTAACTGAATTACGGGGATCGGTCCAAACATATCGGACATACTGTACTACTGATTGCCGATAGTTCGTGCCGCAGTTCAAACACTTAGCAGACACTTCAGAATCCATAAATGCATTCCACGCCTCGGCTTTAAGGAACCAGTGACCCAAGGGGCTATAAAATTACTCAAAACGTAGATGTGGATAAATGAATTATCGACGATGGACGGTGAGTAACACAGACAACTCACAATCAGGCTGGTGCCCAGAAGACGGCTGTGACCTTCGAACACGTCCTCCACACATTCACTAAGTAAAGTCATGTTATTGTACAGTTCGGATGCACAACTAAACACACGTTGTGCAGAATGAACAGCCAAAGACAACTGGTCCGCAGCTAGGGTCAATTCGCAGCCACCACTTATATTGATGAAAGCCGATTGGGTGGCCAACGCGAGCTGAGTCAGCTCTTCGCCAATGGGGTCGGTGAAAACGCGGACAATTATGGCCAGGTGTTCCACACACGAGCGGAGAAAGAACTGAAGTTCTTTGGCGTGTCCAGCGTAGTCACCGGAATGGCGTTGCAGGAACGGAAGAGATTGACTGATTGAAGTTTTCGAGAAGTTGTGTGTACCGAAGAGACTAGAAATGTGCTGGAATAAGAGAAAATGCAGTAAGTAACGTGCGCTTAATAAGCCGAGAATGTGAAGATCAATTTTTGAAGGCGAATAAACGTGAAATTAGCTTTAAGGCGACAACAATGGGACCACCGCGAGTGGTGCAAATGAAGGCGACAGTGCAATGAACCTGGCGACAATGGAAAGAACAGCGCAAATTATTCAAGTATCAACTGACGTATTATGATCGGGGACCCGCAAGCGGCTGCATACGAACGGAACACGAACAAGAGGACGCCGCGAGAGGTACAGTGCAATGAGTTTAGGCTAACAACGGGCCTGCGTTGCTGCAAGAACGGAATAGCGCAATGCGACAACGGAAGTCGTTGAGACGGTTCACTAAATACATACCTGAATGTCGGTATCCTCGATGAGACCGGAGTCAAGTTTAGATTCATAATTCACCGCCCACTGGGTCAATTAGGTAAAATGGAACAGTTAACCTACTTGTATAATCTGTCCCAACGCGTACTCAATCAAGTGCGTGATAAACAGTGATACAGATGGCTCGATCCGGAAACAAATGGCCTAAAGTGGGAGGGGGTGCGCAAGGGTTACACGAAGGCAATAAAAAACTCACTCGGAAGGAGGATAGCACTTTGTCAGCCGGAAGGTAGAGAGTTTTCTTTTTACCGCGATCGATCAAGGTTTTGATCTCATCAATCACATGATCTGGAGGGATAAGCTTTGGAGGGAAGCTATAGTGAATGCGATCATTCACATCGCTAATCGATAGTGGGACAGAGGGATCGCATAGGTTTTTCACGATGCTGGCCGTGTAATCCACAATATAGGATCGGGCGGAAGAGTCCAGACGTAGGGTAGGTTTTCCCGCTTTGTGACAATGAAAATCGAAAAGCTTGTTGCATGCGGTGTCCAAAAGGCCATTGTGTAGCATCCGGTCAACGGAGCTTATGACAGAGGACACGCTCTGGTTACAAGTGGCGGACAGCTTGCTAACCATAACGCAAACAGGTTGGCTAAAAAGAGAAGCGCACGAACATTTTTCAAGATGGGACACCCTTTTGCAACAAAAAACCCAAAGATTACAAGTGTAGGGAAGTATAGAACGAATTGGATTAAGATAACATGATAAACTTGAGAATATATATGGTAAGTTCAGGAGAAAAACACAGTAAATAAAGTGTTGTTGTCAAAATGGATTGATGAGCGCTGACTTCCCAAACCGTGGTTTTGATATCGGTCACATAAGGGGATAGTTATCTTATTGAAAATGACGTAGCCACAATACACGCGGCGCCTCTGCATTGTCTTCATGTGTTCCAAGTTATAGCCACTCAATCTGACAATTGTACTTCATTGCAAACCCCATTAGCTCGTTCATATTATAGTGTCAAGGGAGTTCTCATCAACATCACTGTTCTGAACGCAATACTTCGAAGCAAACCGTGGCCCCAATAGAGTGCGTGTCGTAATCGACTAAGCGGATAAATCTGATTCATCCGCTTCTATTTGGATATGAAATTGTCAACTGGACCGGAGTTACACCCTGCGGTTGCGTGTGATGCGAAACTAGGTAAATTCTATCAAAGCAAGTTGGGGAGAGAGCAAGAATTGGAGGTTAAAAACGGTGGGTAATTGTGTAGTAGGCACGGAAAAGTGCAATAGAGAGCATAGGAAAACAGGGCTGTTCAGTGCAGCACATAGGGCGCCGCTGATTGTTCTTTGCAAAGGCCAGAGCGTCAAGAACGTGTCTGAAGAAGAGTTCATTGTATTTCGTGGGCAGCACACTGTCGTCAGGTTGCTTAGGCCTAGACAGAAGAATGACTAAGGTTCTCAACCAAAAGCTTTGGTTTAAAAATCTGACCACAAGATAACGGGGTTTTGGCATTTGAATGCCAGCAGCGCTAATATAGTTGCATAAGTAGTTACCTACGGGGTATCGAATCGATGACGTGGCATAATGACATGAAGAAAAACCCCGAAGGACTCGGTCAGAGTACTGCGCATCGTCTGCGCTAATGGGGGCCCTGTGATGGTAAGAGGGCCTATAGGACACAGAACAGTCGTGCAGTTCGTGGCGTTCCCGTATTCGATTTCTTGCTCCTAGCTGGTTATTCTCTACCCTGAATGACTTTAAAAACTTTCTCTTAACCCATTTTAGCCTTATTTAACCGTATAACTGTCACCAACGTTAATTGTCGTTGCCATGGTATCACGAGGAGTGGTAAATGAATCTACCACACTTCAGTGCATGGATCACTGTTGTCTAACTGGACCGAAGCAAACTGACTAATAAATATTAAATATTTGACAATTTTAGTTCTTGCGAGCGAACAAACGAAAGGGGAAAAACGAAAAGCACATCCCTATGTCTAGGACAACTTGACGCGTAAAGATAGTTGCTTTTAAAAACAAAGCTCCAGTTTGATTCCACTTAGTGCAACAACCTCGGTGAAACGAAAGAGAGGGGAATTGGCACACCGAAGCAGAAATTCGAATGATGTGCTGACCTCGATCCCGTGTGCAAAGGGAATCTGTCCACAGCAGCCACTGAAGTCAGCTCTCTCTAAAGCAACCCGGAGAAAATTGGCCGAAGTGACCGTGGTTGTATCGGTTATCCGTACATTCAGCAGAATCACAGCACGGTGACCTATGGTCAATAAGTGCCCGACAATCGAAGATGAAGGCGGCCTGTGTGAACGCGTAACCTGAGCAGGGCATGCTTGTTGCGTCGTCTCATAATGGATCCAGTTTGGAATGTGCTCCTTCATTCGGGAACTCAAAGTAACTGTGCTTTTCAATTTGGTGCACAGATTCTTGCTGTTAAAAAACTGAACTGCATCAATGATCGGGTGAATCCCTCTTACCCGGAATGATCTATCAAACCAGCGAACAGAGAAATGGAGCATAAGTGAAAACGAACTCATTTCAATGCATGTGTTGATAGAACGCGAGGTGGGTTTAAGGCACATTACCGGAATACTTTTTTAACTCAGTTGAAGGGGAATAGGCCCTGGTTAAATGAATAGCGCAGTGTAAATAGCCGCTGAAAATATATCAAATAAAGCCAGAGGTAGTTAGCGGCAGACGAACAGGCTAGGGTTTATTTGTAAAACCGTGGCGCCCCTTGTGAATAATGCTGATGTTGATACGAGTCGGCTATCGCCGAGGTCGCGGCTGCATCGACCATATCTGCACTTTGCGTCAATGGTTGCAGCACCGCCATGTTTATTAGTAACCCACCATTGTCGTGTTCCTCGACATCAAAGGTGCCTTCAATTCGGTGGATCGATGTGTCCTTTGGGACTGTCTGCTGAGGAAAGGTGTGCCCGATAAATATGTAAACATTGTCAAAGCGCTGTAGGTGCCTAGTTCGGGCAGAGTGAGAGTTTATGGAAAACTGTCGCCACCCTTCAATATCTCCAGTGGTGTGAGACAAGGTTGCCCGCTGTCATCTTACCGTCTTAACTTCGACAAAGACGAAGTCATGGAAACAGTGTTCGAACGACACGACTTAGAGGGTGGTGGAGCTACTTCCTAGTGAGCGGCTTCTTGAGTTAGAGTATGCGGACAAGATTACCCTCATCCATGACACCTCCAAACGTGCGAAGCAGCAATGGGGCGATTAGCACTTGGTGTCAATCGATTTGGGTTACGCATTGCTCAATGGAAATGCAAAGCACTTCTCCGAGGTTGGCAGAGACCCACCACTGCGCTGACCCATGGTTGTGATCAGCCAGAAGTCGTTTAGGAATTCAAGTGTCTGGACAGCTATATTAGCACCCGTGGGATCGAAGATGAGATTACGAACCGTAGAGCAAAAGCTCGAGGTGCTTTTGTCAATCTCCGTCATCTGTGACGCCGGCGTGACATTACTCTCGCCCTGAAGGGCTGAGTTTTTGTGCACCCATCCCTTCAACCCTGCTATAGGGTTGTGTAACCTGGCCCATCAGGTCGACAGACAGAGAGGCTAGCCAAGTTCTATCATCGCTGCCTTCTAAGCTTAGCTCATGTCTGGGGGGAGCACCACGTGATCTATGAACGTGTTTGGCATCGCGTATTTGGTGCATGAAAAGCGAGTGAACCGTTCAGCATCCACGTATCACGCACTAGGCTCCGATGGCTGGGCCACGTGTCGCGCATGTATGCACACCAACTCCCGTGACGCGCATTGTTTGAGCGCCGGGGGTGCAGTTGGAAGAGGAGGGGAAGCCAATCGATGACCTGGTTCAGAGAAATGAAAACCCTCATTTCGAAACTGGCGTCAGTTGGTGCATCCCGACTACCTGGCTGAGGTCCTAAGGACGATGAACACGTTTGGTTGGACACGCTTGCTGATATGGCGAAGAGCTGGCCCGGATGGCGTCTGTGTTGAGTTTCTTTGCCCATCCTCCTCTCGATTAGATTCTCCGTCCAATCCCAATCTCATATGAAATACATAACGTAATATTTAACTTTATATTACCTGCTTTTGTTATTTTGTAGTGTAAATTTTTAGAGTTGCGTCATATTAGCTGAGGTGTGTTTCCCAATCTCAGCTAACGTGTATTGATGATGACGAAGTTGATACGAACGGGACGAAAACCGAAAAATACGTAGACAAATCGAGCAAAAAATGAATGCGCACCAAACTTGTGATGATTATTATTATTAGTAGTAGTAGTATTATACATGTTAGTGAGAAGTGGAAAACACCTCAGCTATTGTGCCACAATACATGAAAGAAAAACAAGAAGATGCAACAGATGTAGGCTAGCTGAGCTACCAGTAACGGATGAACATCGTACCGGAAAGCCACCAGCCTGCTACTAGGTAGCAAATAAAGGAAACATTTACTATGCAAAGTTATATTTCTCTAAAAAATGAGTTCGTGGTTCGAAGGAAAGGCTAAGAGGGATGGGGTGAAACAAAGAAACTCACAGCACGTACGCCACTGAGGTCGGCTCCTAGCCATATCAACAAGTGTAGCTAGCCAAATGTGTTCATCGTCTTTCGGACCCCAACCAGGGAGCCGAGATGCTCTAACCGAGGTCAGCTTGGAAGTGAGGGACTTCATTCCTCTCGACCAAGTCATCGCTTGGCCACCTCTCCTCTTCTTCCATCCACAATATTGGCAAGCAGACAACGTACGTCGCAGGAGCCGGTGGGCTGGCATGAGCAACAGGTGGCAGAGCCATCGGAGCCTGGTGCGTGAAATAACGGTGCTCAACCGTTCATTTTCTTGGCCTGTGCCGCAAACAACGCGTCGAATATGCTCGTGACTCGCGCGGTGTTCCCACCAGATGTGAGCCAAACTGCAATAACACGGGTGGTCGAACGTAACTAGCCTCTTTATGTCCGCTGATCTTAGGCACCAGGTTTTGCAACCGTACAGTAATGGCGAAGTTACCGCTGCATTGTACACTCTAACCTCCAGGGCGAGTGATGTCACGTCGCCGCCATAAGTGGCGAAGGTTAGAAAAAGCGCCTCGAGCTTTTGCTATACGTCTCGTGATCTCATCTTCAATGCCGGCGACGATCACACAACTTTCTACGTAGTTGAATTTTATAAGACTTCCAGCAGATCCCTACCAATGGTCAGCTAAGGAGGCGATCCCTGCCAATCTTGAAGGAACGCTTTGCACTTCGAGGGTGCAAATCAAAGCACAAAGTGGCTGACAGCAAGTGCTAACCTATCCAGTGCCGCCTGGCACGTTTCGGAGCTGTCACAGATTAGGACAATATCGTCCGTATACTCCAAGTCAAGAAGTCGTTCTCTTAGAAGAAGCTCCACATCTAAGTCGTGTCCTGTGAACGCGATTTCCATTACTTTGTCAATAGCGAAGTTGAAGAGGAAAGATGACAGCGAGCATCCTTGTCTCACACCGCCGGAGATATTGAAGGCCGGCGACAGCTTACCGTGCCACTCGTGCATAATGATCGGATAATATTTACATATTTCTCAGGTACACGTTTCCTGGGTAGACAGTCCCAAATGGCACATCAGTCAACCGAATCGAA